CATCCAGAAGCTTGTTATCCGCTTCGCCTTCTTCATCCGGGCATCTAAAACGAAAAAGAGTCTATTATGAAGCGAGGCATCACAAAAGCATATGCTAACAAAATAAATTTTACGCCATTTCAAAGGGGAAGTTTTTTTTTTTCACAGAAACTCCGCTAAGAAAAAAACGCGTATCAGCTGTGTATATGTGATGTATAGATATGTATATGTAGATATGCGATGAACCAGAAAGGAGCACATAAAAAAAGTAATTCAAAGAGAAGAATAAATTAATCCTAACTGAACTTCGTTTCTTACAATTCAGAAAAAAATTGTGGGATAAATGTGCAGTCTGTCTGATTTCAACTAATGTTTTCGCACTGGATACTTTGGTCGGTTACAATTTGTAATCAGGGCTCTTCAGCTAGGTAAACTTTTCTGGTTGAAAACCCCTCCTCTTTCGAAGGGATTACCAGCACATCGGTTTCTCCAGACAAAAGGGCTTGATGGGAGTCTTAGTTCGAAATGCCCCTGTTGCTTATTAACAACCAATTCCGAATATTCCTTGATCACAGCGAGGTGCCTTATCTTAGTATGTTCACCAGTAAAAAAAGTTTCAATAAGCGAAGTTGTTTCGATAAAATTGCCTTTTCATTAATGCAGACAGGACTGCGGCAGCGGCTACACGATATGCATCGCTAGAGGATTGCATTCGTGGTATCATTAATCTCACAAGAGGGCGTATCCATTCCGGGCGATGCTCGCTCAATGACCGCGTCAAAACTGCGATCTGAAAGGTGTGTAAATTTGAAGAAGAGAAAAAAAAGCAACAGATATTAACAGCTCTATTGATGACTCTATTGTAGCTGAGCAAGCTACAATCCCCGGTATCAACAGAGCCAAAAATCAGCAGTTCAGTTCAAAGGAAGTTAGATTCTGGGTTAAAAAGCAAGCTACATATTTGGCTTGTGGATTATCAGTTTCCTAATAGTATCCTGAGAGATTACCGGAGCTAAATGAGTTCCAACTTACTCCATTAGTAAAGTGCAATGTATCGATACAATCACTCCAGGCACGTTCTGAGTTCATTTTTTCAACAATGGCATCATCGAGAGTTCGAAGAAACAAACTTCGCAAAGCTTGCGAAGCTAAAGCTGCTGGTGTTGATGAAATTCGGCGCAATTCCGGTGTAATAATCAGTACTTTTGCACCTAGAAGAGAAATATGACTGGTTTTTAGTCAGAATTAAAAAGTTGTAAAAAAATCTGTAGTACAAATTTGATGCGCAAAAATAAGAAAGAGACTTAAGTGATTTACCGTTTTTTTCTTTTACCAGCACTGGATACTGGGTATCGATAACGGCAGCCAAAAACTGTAGAAGTGCAGCCAAAATATTTGGTATTCGTTTGAAAAGTTCGGGCTCTGGTTCGCCAGCCTGAAACAGAATGCTGTTAAAAAAGTTCTTGTGAATTAAAAAAAAAGAAAATACGCTGAGACAGAACTGCTTTCAGTGAAAAGTACTGGAAATTTTTAATTACTCTGATAATTTCAGTGACTGCTGCTGCTAGCGCACAAACTTCCGGTTTCACGATTTTGACCGATGATCCGGCACCAGTATCCAAAATTTCGAATGGAACTTCATTGCTTTCAGATGAGCCGCATCCGGCTGTGATCAGTTCCAGCAAATAATCGGCAATCAGCGGGAAAAGTGTGTGATCATGGGACATTGTATGCCACGCATCAATCATCGAGCTATAAAATCGGAACGTTTAAGGCGAACCACCGCAAGGGTAAAACCATGCAGACCGCTTGCGATGATATACTGACTGATGTACTACTGAGACTTCTTTTCAACAGTGTTTTTAATGTACTGCTTCCAAACCCAGCAAAATTTCCATGGTTGCTGTCTACTAAGTTGGATCACCTAGTCAGACCTACTGCTAGTGAACTTGGCTTTAGGTTCACCCTTACCTTTTTTATTCAAAAAAACAATAAATAGCAAAGCGCACCC